GGCTCAGACCTGAGATCATAGAGCTCGGCCTGCATGTAGGCCAACGCCCTTCTGGTTGAGCCACTCGGGAGGCCCAGCAAGAACAGCTCTCCAAAGGTCATTGTGTGTGTATCACAAAGCTGTGAAACATCTGTAGTCAGGATCACCTCCAGCTGAGGCTGTGACAATAGGAATGGTATGTGAGATCAGAACCCCCTTTGGTTCCACTGTTATTTTCACTGGGATTGAAATCCTAGAATTGTTTTTGCCAGGGATAATGGAAGTTCGTGACATGCTCCTAGGGCTGACAGTGCCTTTACTGCTACTGAGAAAGTCTGTTCATGTGACCGAGTATCCTAATATTTGGAGCAGTGAGCGCGCCTTGGTGTTCCTGAAATCTGGAATGTAAGAAATATTTGCTGAACTAAAACTGGGTTTGACCTGTTGTTTTTGCAATTGTGTGACTTGGCCTGTTGTAATATTTATTTTACTTTTCTTGGTGATAAAATGCAGGAAGAAAAAGTGATGATTTAATCCAGAGATTTTTGTTCAGAAATGTGCCATTGTACCTGTTTCGAGGCCAGGGATCTCTGTAAATCAGTAAAAAAGATCTATCTGTGAAACAACAAGATTTTGATTTTGCTTTATGAGAAGTAAAAGCTGTTTTTTCAAATGTAGATTAATTGCAATTAGTGCTACATTGTCAGATGTCCTGTTTTTTTTCTTTAGCTTTCTAAACTGACGAAGATGCGCATTTCTGGTGAAAATTTGGAAGAGATTGGAGATTACAACTATGACAACCCCAATGATACTGCCAACTTCTGCCCGGACATTGAGGTCTGTTTACACAGTAAACACAACCCTGCAAGTTAGAACATCATTGTACAGTTTCCGCTGAAGATGACTATGAACTGCTCTGCTTTTCCCATTTTAGATTAGATTTCAAGATTTTTTTCCCTTCTCCCAAGAGAAATACTACACTGATATGTCAGCATACTTCTGATCTAATCTCTAGGACTAAAATGATTTAAAATGATTTTGGCTCAGCATAAAATAGTGCTCTAAAAAACTAAAAATAGATTGTTTTTTTACATGGAATGAATCTAATTGAGCTTGTCTTCCGGAGCCCTGAAGTTAAGAGCCCCACCAAGCACAGTTTTAACCTACTCCTAAAAAGTTACCATTAGTGCAATGCAGACATTCCACATAAGAAAATTACTTATTTAAATAATTAGCAAATTCACAGATGTGTGGTAGTACTGAAGCCAGTTGTCATCCCTGGGACAGTTCAGTCATCCCTGGACTGAACTGATCATTCAGCGTGAACTTCAGTTTCCTAAAATCAGTGCTGTCCCAGCCAGAGCGGTGCCTGACTGCACGTTCTAATTAACCTGGAGCATGTGTCTGTCTGTGCAGGTGGAGGACGATGAAGAGCCGGCTGGCTTCGTGGGGCCGGATGGAACATTTGAGATGACCTGTCACCCTGGAGGGGGATCCATTTCCCTCCCGGCGGAGACAAATGGAGCAGACATCACCACCTACGGAGAAGACAACCTGGTGGCTGAGCCGCACAAGGTCAGAGGTCAAAGCTGCTCAGGGTGGCAGAAAGGCATCGAATTAAACGCCGGGGACTGAAATTCACAATTGCGCCAAAAAACTTATTGATTTGTATGTTTTGACTGCCGGCCTATCTGTCCACCTCTGTTGTCTGTCAGGTGAACAAGATTGAGATCAATTACGCCAAAACAGCCAAGAAGATGGACATGAAGAAACTGAAGCACACCATGTGGAATCTGCTGACTGACCAGTTAAACAAATCAGCAGAGGTTCGATTCTTTTTTTTTTCCCCCATTGTTTAAATCATCAGAGGTGTTTGGAGACCTGTGTTTTACACTCCAGCGCAAAAATGCAATGCCAAAGAGGAGTGCGAGATGGTATTCCCTTGAAGCGTTTCAGACGAGGCTGGCGAGGTGAAGGAAACCACTACATTTTTTAATATCTGTCTCTGCTACAGGCAAGAGAGGGCGATGAGTCGGCTGCAGTGAATGGAATGAAAGCCTTCAGTCAGACCACCAAGAGTCTGCTCCAGAGGTAACTCTTCAAGGCCAGATCACATTCCCCTTTCAGAGCAGTGTGAGATACTCAGGTCATGATTGGTTAAGGGCCAGATTAGTAATTATTTGCATTTCAGAGTGGGCCAAGACACTGCAGTTTACCAAGAACTTGATTAGAGTGCAAACACAGAGTAGGTAACCAGACCGGCAGGGTCAGGACGCTGGAATCAGGAACAGTCACTCGTTGCTGTAAGGAAAGGCACTACCAGACTCCAGTTTCACAGTGTTATTGCCAGTTCTGTGCTACTTAAGCATGAAACAACCCTTGAGTCCTCCACCCCAGGTTTTGTGCTAAGCTAGTGTGCTTCTTTGTCGAGTAAACCAATGTTGTGCGTATGCATGGGTCACAAGCAGTTCATCCCTGTGTGGGATTAGATCTGCTGTCCCTTGGGAATCTTCTAACCCTCTGAAAAGACTCGGCACACAGGTGGGCAAACAATACCAGTCATCCATGTGACCCCATTGGCACCTCCTGTCAGGTTTAGAGGGCAACATCACTGTTAGAGCCTCACATCAGGAGCCCTGCTGCCAATATAATGCATTCATAGTTTATACTGGACTTCTTTTAATTTTATTTGTCATGTGGATCAAGACATCTGCTGAGGAAGGCAGTTATATTTAGACTCCTTACTCTTCAAAGCTTATATTTTTGATGCAGGCAAACTGTAAACAGACTTTTAAATCTGTAGGGATTTGTGTTATTTTGCTTATTTTAACCTTTTAATCCAATTTTAAAAGACCTTAACCATTTTAAAGGCAATAAGTCACAACTGTGTATGACTTGAAAATTCAATGTTTTTCTGAAAGTGGGAGAATTCAGTTACCTCCAAACAAATACCTTTTATTAACAAAGACTAAAACGATGCACCTCTCGGTGTAATTAAATTAAAGCATTTGAGATAGTTTCAGTTATACAGTTAATAAGCAGCTATTGACATTTGACAGTTATCACTTTAAATGGAAAAGCTCCCCCACCCTCTGGTGAGACCAAGAAAGCAATTAACAGTTATTTAACAGCAATTAAAGTCAGCTTAAAACAATTAGCTTTAAAGGGCTGGTGCATTTTGTCATGGTATTTTGTGCACAGAAAAGCTGTAGAAGACATATACGGTAGTACTACCTCCTAATGATATATATGATACAGCTCCAACATTAAAGGGGAGATGTGGTTAGGAAGCAGACTGAATCCAAGCTGGAGCACAGCATGGTTCTGTTTTCCTTTGACTTCCTTTCTGTTTCGTCCCAGGCTCCCCTCTAATATGGCCCAGAACCTGTCTGTCCCCTTGGCCTTTGCCGCCCTGCTGCACTTAGCCAACGAGAAGGTGAGTGTGTCTGCACATTGGTAAACCAGCTCTGCTGATAGAAGTCATACGCTGTCCACACTGCTGGAGCCATTCACTGTCACTGTCACAGTGGGCTGGATAAAACAGGACTCTTTACTTGTACTTTCTACAAACTGTCCCACAATTGGAGTTTTGTGGAATGAATGCAGATGTATTTGGAAGTTTAAACCATATTCAGAAATGTTAGGTTCTTCTAGTTAACTTGTTAGTTCAAAGAATGACTGTATTTTTTAAAAGATATGTTTCTACTTCAGGAAGGCCTCAAAGTTTGTCAACCTTGAACGTGCACATGCTACACTTTAACCTGCCCCTGCTTTATGGATCAGCTTAACTTGTGTCAGCCAGGCCATCCCTTTATTTTATTTTATTTTATTTTATTTCTTGGGCAACGGGGGCTTTAAGCCCCCAGAGTAATTACCCTCACAGGGGTTGAATATATTCTGTCTGAATAGTCCTTGACGGTCAAGCATTGCAGGTCGATCTCCACACGGAGGATATAACGATGGCCTTGAGAGGCAGTGGTCAGTGTAACTGTGACTGGAATGTGCATTGACGCTATGGCCCTCCCTGTGGGTCTCTCTGATCGCTATGCTCCCTGTTCTCTCCCTGCAGAACCTGGAACTGCTCAAGGTGGACGACATGTGCGACATTATAATACAGCAAGGCCAGTAAGGGAGAAAGACCTTTGGATTTACTGCATTGTACAAACAAAGGTTTCTTTTAGCTCTGTCTTTTATTATATTAAACTTTTTCTTATTTTTATTTTTTTTTATAAGAAGTCGGTAAATTGTTCTTTCACCAGAGAAGTGTTACTGTTGTTTTCATTTCCCTACATCCCCAGTTACCACATTTGGCTAGCTAGAGAAGCTTCCATTCACCGCAGAGCGTGCCACACGATCTCAAAGTGTGCTTTCTCTGCAGGACGATTGTGATAATACATGATATTCATACACTTGGTGACTACTAGCATCAGCTCAACCTGTGCCAGTCTGGCCTGTAGACTCTTCTTGTTGGCAGAATACCGAATATTGAAACAGTACTCTGTGTGGAGACCATGGCTGTGTCCACGTGTGCAAATAAGTACTTTATTTGAACCTTCCAGTTAAAAATGATGGACATGTGGTGTATATGATATCTTTTTTTTATCAAAGAAATAAATCTGGCGCAAGACAAAAAAAACAACATGCTAAGTTCTGAAGGCCATTTTTGTTTTTCCAAAAATTTTGATTTTTAAAAATTGTCAGAAAGTTATGTCTTGATCATGTAATCCGGGCACACCAGATTGTCTTGGTATATCATGCATCCTCCAAGCTAGGACAGACATCCCAATTGCTGTTTTTTCATTTGAGCTTGTTTATCACTTTATGCGTTTGGACTGTTGTTCCTGACTCGGTGGGGTTTGTGTGTATCTGTTTTTTTTTTGTTGTTGTTCCGAATTCTAAAGACATCCCAGTTTGTCTGACCCTCAGAGTGAAGCGGTCTGTTTCCCACACGGGTGAGAGGGCGGAAGGAAACAGCTCTGGGAAGCAGAGTAGATCTGTGACAGGCCTAATGAGGAGAAGAGTGGAATAACCACTGCAGCTGGTGGGGCACAGAGCTGCCTTGGTTTTTCTGTATTCTGCCCCAGCTGGCTCCCCGGTCAATGGAGCCTTTTGTTTCAGTTTTTGGCTTGTCCGTGTAACTAAGCGCTGGTAGACCAGAATATATTAAACCTCTTGGGGAATGTATTGGAACAGCCCTGTTCTCCACATGAAAGGGCTGCAAAATGTGAAAATGCTTTTTTTTTCCTTTCCTGGAGGAAGGCTGTATCTATTAAGATAATTCTTTCAAAGAGTTATGCTTATTTGTCACTCTTCCGATCAAACACATCTAAGTGAAAAGCTTTTTATATTAAAGTGGGAGCTCAGGGAATTTGGCACTGCGGTAGGGGGACAGCAATGTGTTTCAATAAATTATATGTATTCAAAAACATAGCCTGGACACACCCGCCATTCTTACTTAATAGATGAATTAAAATGAAACACAAAAGCCAGGCCATATTATAGAGAATAATATCCTGCTTCAGGGGTAGGAAATAAAGCTGTTTCATTCCCGGAGTTCATTGAAAAGGGATTTTCAAAATTATTTTTTTCCAGCATATGTTGTTTCTTTAAACAAAAAACAGGCATAAAGGCAGCTGAATTAGGGAACTTGACAAAATGACAACGGGTCGTGTTCTTATGGGCACAATATAGAAGCAATAGTGTTGCTTAAAAATAATCTTGGTTATTTAAAGCTAAATGCTATTAAATTTATTGTGTTAACATCATTTTCTTAAGATGATTGGATCTTTATTTTATTCTATTTTAATTAGTTTTCCTCAGAGGAGTCATAAACCCCAGGATATATAATATCTGCTTTTGAGAAACTGTATGCATTTTTTCATATTGTATGTTTTAGAAAGAAAATGTACTCATTTGTGTTAAATCTTGTCCCGTGCAGCTCCAAATCATTTTGAATCATTACATGATATGATCTAAAGGGCTGGATGTTAATGGGATACCCTTTCAAAAGTACTTGTAACATCTTGGAATTCTGTGTCTTGTGAAGGTTTGTTTCAAAAACTCTGCTAACTCTGTTTTGATATTTTTGTCATTGCCGTCTGTCTATGATTGACCTTTCTTATTCATGTCTGCCTATTTTTTTAAACCATATGATGACTTGTCTGGTGGGTCAGAAGCTCTGAGAGTGGACGGCCTAGATACATTAGGTATCACATGGGTGGGACACTCTGACAAGCTCTATTTCCCAATGAATTATTTTACCTCAGGGGCCTTGTGAGAGCCCAGCCCTGCTATTTTGCATTCATTTGCAGACAACCTGTCACAGTGCTCCATCTACTCTGAGTGAGGACTTGAAAAGTCTTTAGCTTTGCGTTTCTTGTTTTTAAAAGGCAGGATTTTTGTACAGTTTGTGGTCTTTTTAAAAAAAAATGTTTATGATTTTTAACTTTTTTCTTTTACTGTATGTGTTTGTTGTGTAAATATCAATAAATTTTAAAAACATCTTGAGCATTTTCATGACTTTTTTTTTACACGGGCTATCTATGATTGTTGTTGTGATGATAATTGTAGTTTTTAGTGTAGCTAAGTTGTAATAAAAGGTTTTCCTGTTTGATGACTTAAATCATCTCATCTACAGTGGTTTAGTCATTTGGCAAACTGAAGTGAAACTGGGTGTAAAGTGCAATTCTTCTCTCAATTGTCTGGATCATATAAAGAACATCTGTAAGTTCTCATATTTCCATTTGAAAAAGATCCCCTGGCTAAGGTCTTCACTCACTTTTGCAGACACTGAAAAGTTAATTTATGCCTTCATTTAATCTCTCCGGGACTATTGTAATGATCTCTTTTGTGGTTGTGCCCTCGAGCTTGTTAATCAAATTAACAGCTTCTCCAGAACGGCGCTGCCAGGGCTCAGAGCATCTCACTCCTGTTCTAGCACAGCTCCACTGGCTCCCTGTCCAGCCCCACCCCAGTCATTAAGATCAGTTTAAAAGGGATCCTAAATTCAATCCTAAATTCTCAGACCAGTTATTAAATCTCAATGACGAACTAAATTCATTAACAAAATGTACACATTTTGAATCGAGCACGAAATCGTGAACTTTGTGAAAGTGCCATAAGTCGCCATGTTGTTGCAAACTCCTGGTCCCCCCATGGGCGAGAGTGAGAGTTTCCACAAATTGCGAGGTGACATGGCCCTTTCTGTTCCCTAGTCATTGTAAAGACTAATGTGACGTGCGAGCGAATTAGTACAGGTTGTGCAGCAGATATTTCACTGCAGAAATGTCCCAAAGTGATCTACGTGCAGAGTTAACAAGTAGTATCTGTTGGCAAAACCATCTGGAAGTCGGGACCAAAATTTCTATTGGATTAAAAGAGATATATTCATAAGTCTGCTTGTTTACTATGTAATAGGGCTGCTTCACGTCACCAGAAGTTTTGCTTCATTACAAATGGTAGAATATGGCGCTGCACATACAAGGGGCATTTTGTCTATGTTGTGATGTACTTACATGTTACAGTTTACATTTTACTTTTGTGGTTTGAGATCATTGCTGTTTGTTTCTAACTCCGAATTATAAAAATAACATTGCAGTTTCCTTTTAATCTTACTGCAGGTCCCCAGAAGTCTTTGCTCTTCACTGGTGGAATAGCCTCCTGATCATCTCAGGCAAGCAGTTTCAACTAAGACCTTCAAGCCCTTCTCTACCCGCAAACCTTCCAGTACTATAAACTAAAGTCCCCTTTCCTTCTTGGTTATTAAATTCATTGACTTCTCTTTTTAGCTTTTTCTTTGATGTGAAGCACATTGAGATTCATTGTAATCCAATATACTATATAAATTAAACATTAGTATTATTAGTAGTATGAGCTTCTCTCTCATTTCACTCCCATTTGAGCAGCTGAGTGAGTGAAGTGTTTGCTTCAAACGTTGGCTTCATTCTATCAGGACAACTGAGACTGCTGAGGTTTCCTAAGCCAACTGTCAAAAAGGCATAAGTTCCACTTGTGAAATAGGAAGAATATTCGCTTGTACAATAAATGTAAAATTAAATGCATTCCTGGCAATGTAGACGACATCCTACAATAACGTTTTATTTTCAGGAAATGCATAATATGAAACAGTTCCATGGTGATGTATGACCCTACACACCTGGACAATGTTTAATTCTGACCTGACAGGAGGCTGGCCTTTTTGGCATAGAGGACTGTACCTCTTTTTGGACAAGGGTGCTGTGTGACGTGACACAAGAATCCTAGCAGGAGGCAGGCTACACACAAAACAGCTCCAGAAAAAACTGGATGTGCCTGGCTATGAAGAACTCTGTGTTATTTTAATGTCATTCACACAACTTCCAAATTTAACCAGAGGCTGGTTAGTAATGCATTCAATTCTTTGATGGAGCGATTGATACTCATAGGTATACAGAGAAAAAAAATCAAAATCAGAATCACTTTTATTCGCCAGTACGTGTTAGGAATTTGTCTTGGCACACTTGGAACCTGCTCAACACAAAAATCACACAGGTGCAAAAGGAGCATTAACATTACTGACATAATGACATACGACAATATACAAAAGATGGGGAGACACAAAAGCACAGTCACAATATGTGCTCACAGTACAGTACAGATGTATGGAACATATAGACATTACAGTATATATAAGACAGAAGTGCATTCACATTTTACAGTTCAATACAAATGTACAAACAATAGACATTATAGTATAAGAAAGACACGTGGCAAGTTCAAACCATGTGCGAAAGTACCATGTGAGGAGTAAGGTGCAACTATGTGCACATGTTGGGAAAACGCACCAGTGCAAAATGTACAAGATGTATGAACCAAGTTAACAATAATACAATAATAAAGTTTTTCAGATGAAAAGGGGAGTTGTAGGGGGAGGAGGCTGGTTAAGCAGAAATATGGCATTGGGAAAGAAACTGTTCAACTGTCTGTTGGTTTTGGTTGCCTTGAAGCGTTTTCCAGTGGGGAAACTTTTGAAATAAATGATGTCCAGGGTGGAAGGGATCTGCAGGAATCATGGTGGCCCAATTCACTGCTCTAGATTTGTAAAGCACGGCGAGGGATGGAAGGTTACAGCCAATCGCTTTCTCAGCACACTTGATAACGCACTGCAATTGGTTTCTGGAGTGTGGAGCTAAACCAGACAATAATCGAGGGAAAAAAAATAATGTGACAGCCATTAACTTATACCAAATGACTTAATGCTTCCAGTGTTACACAGTCTAACTGGGAACAGCAATATGATTCTAAAGTGACTTTTATATTAGTCACATAGTTATATATTTAACAAACAAAACTGAAATATGAAATGAAACGGATGCCTGAATAAGATTAGATAGATTAAAATACATTTAGAAATTGTCCTCCTTATGCTTTGAGGAATCATATTTATCTTTGATAAGGTCTAAGCTTTGCTTAGTTTTGAATGGATGAAGACAAACATTAAACAAAAAGCCATTAGATGTGAATGTCAGCAAGCAACCATCCCTTTAGCAATGTCCAGCAGGCGGCATTCTGTCTGAGAGCAAACCCATTCCGTTCCAAAGTGCACTGTCATGCCTGGTGCGTCACTGCCAGGTGTCAAGTAACAACCCTTTCGGTTCCCTTGGCAAGCAAGGCTGGTGGAAGTTGAGACTCATTGTTAAAAGCCTGCGCAGAGAGGTGCCGTACAAGGAAAGCTATCACTGTCCTAAATGGGTAACCTGATCATTTGCTGTTCGGTGTTCTGTGCTTGTGCGCAGTAGTGCAGTGCATTATCGAAGCGGGAGTCACCAGTATCACTGTGTCGGTAGTAAGTGGTCTAACCTGTTTCAGTCTATAGAGTGCTGGCTTGCTGAACTGTATGCAAGCTCAAATATTCTTGTTCTATGTGATCTGGTTTGTTCAGTTTAGTGACTCAAGTGCTGGGCTGCTGTGTGATGAAACAGCAAGTCTTCATGGCGGAGAGCCCTCATGAAACCACAAGCACTGTGAAATACAGATAAGACATTCCCTTCCAAAACCAGGCTCCTTGTGGTTTGTTATAAGTGCCAAGGTTTTATTTTAATCTTAGGAACTATCTTTAAAGAAGCAATAGCAAACTTTTTTTTTATCTTTTTCCAATTTCCCCAGATGTTTGCCCTGCGACATTCCTATCAAGTCAGGAATTTGCCAACATCAAATAATTTAAAAAAATTATGTTTGAAGGGGCCCGATTTTGTGAAAGCGGTTCATTGCAGCAAAAACAGAAAAAACAGATTCAAGCTTAAAAATTAAAGCACATTTCCCAACACAAGCGAAATTGGTCTATTCAAATCCTTGTTGGGTGTTCAGACAAGACACTAGTCAGTTCTAGGATACAGTCCATTAGAGATTAGGTACAATAAATAAGATTAAAAGAAACGTTATCAGCAAAGAGCCCCAATAAGAGCCTCATCTTGCTACTACCAATGAGATAGTGTAGCATAGTGATAATTTTAACTTGTAACTTTTTATGTTATTGTAAGAATGCTAGTTTGAATCCAAGCTTACTGGCTGTTGTATTTAACGTCACAGTGTAGACAATGTGGCTCAGAGAAATTCATTGACTGAATTCCAGCCACTGCTCCCATCACTGCAAAGCAGGAGAAAACAAGCAGGAGTGAAACTGATGAAGGACATGTATGTTTCCCAGTCTCTCACACATGTTGCAGGAAAAGCTTCCAACCAGCAGAGCAGACTGCGCAAACAGGTTGCTGAGGAATAGAAATCAACTTCCCAGCTTTAAGGCCTAACAAATTTCTTGAGAAATGCTTCTCTGCACCGCTGCAGATGTGTAAATACTGTAATAATTATTTTTGTTTTTGTGCAGGCCAGGATTGATTCCGATTTTATTAGTGGGGAGAAATTACTTTGACAGTTTTCAGTTGTGAGCAAGAATCACAAAAAGTCAAAGAATATTTGTTTCTTGAGTAAAAGAGTGTACAAAAGTCTATGAGCCCCTGGTGCACTTTTTTTTAACAACAGACAGCGGGCCATGTGTTCTGGTGTCGAGGACCTTCCCTGTAGACCTCACCAGCAGTGATGACCACGTGATCAAGTCTATAGTAGCAGGTTCTTCACAATCTCTTCAGCGGACGACATTTTCAGCATTTCGACCTCCTTGAATGTGAAGCAGAAACGTCTGCCACCATGTTATTTAGCTGAGTAAACTACCTGTTAATTAATAATTCATCATCACTAACTCCACAAAGCAGTTGTCACAGTTTCACAAAAAAACAGACACTTTGCACATTCTTTGTAAACAAGGAAAGCTAATATCAACTGATTCCTTGCTCTGGGTGTTTTGTTGTGCTAGTGTGTGTGTGTCTTTGTGTACAGGTTAGGATATTGTTTTTCTGTGTCAACTTGAAAACTTGTGTTTACTTATGTGAGTAACCATGCATCAATGTATCTGCCTGGAGCGGACATATTTTCTATTTAATAATTACCCATGTGATTGAGGTGTCAAAATGCCAAAAGCTGTATAGATTAGAAACAAGAACAGAAAGTTACTGGAAATATTGCTTAATAAAACTTGCAGCATCTCCATTCAGTACTGCTTTCCAGGGGCATTTTTTTCTTTTCAATTTTTTTTCAGATACCCATAACTCTTTTGGAAACTTTTTATGTATGGACTTTATGAGGCTTTTCTTTACACAATGTGGCTGGTATCTACAATCTAGTAATAAGTTAGATGCCCATGTAGGTTATACTTTTTCAGCTTATCCAGCTATTTCTTGAAAGACGTCAGGGAACTATTGTCAGCTACAAGGCTGGGCAGCTGCATAATCTTCTGTATAAAGAAATGCCTCCTGTTCTCAGTTTTACATGCACTTCCTTGAGGTTACCACTTATGTCCTCTAGATTGTCTTTGGCTTTGATTCTGAAGAAGGTCATTTTGAAGGCTGAATTTTCCATAATACATGTACTCAAATACCCTGTCATATTTGCTCCTGGTTCTGGAGGGCCACAATCCACTAGGCTTTATAGGAGCCTAATGATACTCAGTGAGATTACACAAGATTTAAAGAAGAAGCTGGAAGGCGAAAGTCTGAATTTCCTAAAGAGAAAGAATTTAGTTTGAGCAGAACCAGTTACAGAGAGCCTTTGGTTTCAGTTTTGAAAGAAAGGTGAGGTGTTTAAATGCAGAAATTGTCGAAGCAGGAGGCTGTCTTTTGTGTTTCAAAAGGAAAGCACCATGGTAAGTCTAACTAGTTAAAATTCTACATTACTTGTGTTTTCGTGGAGTAGGTTGTATTGGGCGATATTGAAATGTTCAGGTTTGCATAGTTTTTCATGAGATGAGAATAAAAGTGTTATTCACATTTCAAATGACTTTAGGGTTGAACTTGAACATGTTTTAAATCAATTTTAGACTTTCCAGAAACAATCTTGTCTTTTTTTAAAAAAAAATCTTGAAACCTTAGTATTGTGGAGATAAACATTTTTGAGGTTGTCATTGGAAGTAAGGAGACCCAGTGGAACCGTGCTGTTCACGAGCCGTGAGAAAGCAAGGAGAGAAGAAAAGAAAGAGAAAAATAGGCGCTGCTCCTGAAAACAACCCTGGCATGGCTTTCTCTGTTCTTTTATGGGGGGAAGGCAGGAAAAGTGGAGCCAGAGGGGAAAGGGCAAATGGCACAGGAATAGTCAATTCTGAGGGGGATTTAGTAAATAAAATACAACTTGTATTATACAATATCACAGTCTGCTGAGTAGATTTTGCCTCCTTTTAAATTAAGGTAGGAATTCAAAGGAAACAAAGGCCAGTGACATTAATCTATTTTTGGAACAGGG